TTAGATAAACAATAATTTTGGCCTTGCAATGACAGCCGACGAATCGGATCAAATCGTTTTAATAAGGGTAGAAATTAAGTGATATTCTGCCTCATGGTGTCAACTCTTAGAACAGAGGAAGAAAGCGTACGCCGTTAAATCCGAAGAATTGACAGGAGAGTGGAATTCTCACTAATGGCATCGAAAATTAAATTTTTTTCCAGTAAACCCATGACACAGACTAAGGTACATTCGTCAGTGTTCCAACATGTGCTTCCTCGACCCCACATTGGTGTTAAAATACCATGGATCTGTGGCCTTCTGAAACGGTTTCCTATGTTATTGGAAGCAACGATAGGGTGCTCTGTAAATGCGGAAAAGATACGTACTATTTTGATTGTGCATTTATGTATATTGCTATATACCATTGTCAATACACAGTAATATATCGGCTCTATTTCTTCCCATTACCCAGTAGAGGGAGTTTACAAATTAGAATACTAAAAATTATAGTAACAGATGCCATTTTCTATTCACGTGATTGAATATGCATGTCACACTTTGAACATCATAATCTGAACGTTAGATTTTCTGGGTTTTGATCGTACAGGAGAACACTGATTGCATAACTTCAATATAATTGTCTATCAGCAATAAAGTAATGCACGAAATTTTGTTCGTTTTTTCCATGAGACGTAATTCTCTGTTTAAAGATACACAGGTTAAAATGCATTCCTTATGGACTACTGCGGAAAGCGGTCACTTTTTTCACTGCATTTGCATGTATATTGTCATTCTTCCAGACAAAACTGAGTGGAAGGCAAAGATAGCAGCCCTGTCAACTATGGTAACTAAAGCTTCACTATCTTAAGATTTGTGATCTCGGATTTTAAGGATGAAAACGCACGGTGTAAAGAAAAATATATATCTTATTTTACACTGAAACTACGGTAGTTCAAGACAGATGGAAATCTCAAACCTGGTAGTACCGCACTATTGCACCACCCCCTTGTTTCTAGAGCCCTATATGGACCGTTTAAGCAAGCCATGGCTCCATGTATTTAAACTCCTCCTGTAATGCACAAGAGACCGCGTCTGTTAATTGGGTTGAACAAATAAATGTTTAAATCTAAATGCCATTATTTTTAGGCGAAAACAAATTGTAAACATAACACCATTGTTCTGGAGTAGACTCCACGAGAGGAGTCTTCGATACAGCCGTCGATATGTAATGTTAAAATCGATGATCCCGGTTTTTAACGGCGAAACGTAAAAAGCCTTATCATTGGACACAACCCTTAATATAATTCGCCCTGTTATGCTATCACTCCATTGTTCTTTATGACGTTCTGCGTAACAGGCGTTACAACGTTGGATGATAGCAAATGTACGCGCCAACAATCTGACTGCAATCAGAACTTGGCGTACAATCACAGACGTATACGATCGTCATGGAAGATAGATGATAGACCATTAGTAGTAGGAGTACTATATGATTATGCGCTATAACGAATGCATAACCAAAATTTAACGTTTGCAACAAAAATTGACATTGGCAGTAAGTTGCAAGAATTGGCACGTTAACCTTATTGGAAATGACCAATAACGGTCTGTTTGTAGTTCTGCCGTGACGAACGACAGAGACAGTTAAGAAAGTGTTAAGTAATGGTTGATCAAATAGTGATTACGTGATGCCCTCTTGTACAATAAAGCATACGGTACCTG